TTGCTCTTTGGTGACAACTTTTAATTAAACCTGCATTAAGTGATAGAAGCCAAAATGACAGAAGGTGCACTGCCTCCGAGAAGTTCCAGCATGACTCTAGAAGAAGGCAGGGCTTTCATGCTGTGCGTGTCATGGTGCCCTGCTGGGGAGTGCGGGCGTGCTCAGCTGACCTTACTAAGCCCTTCCGGGCTTCGTGTGACACAGTGCCTTCTCCTTCTGCACTAGGTACCCAGTCAACATTACTATGAAGCTTCCCAGGTGGCTCAGTGGTAAAGAATCCGCCTGTCAATGCAGGAGATGCGGGTTCTATCCCTGGGTTGGGATGATCCCTGGAGGGCATGGCAACCCACTCCAGTGTTCTTGCCTGGAGAATCCCCATGGACAGAGGAGTTTAGGGGGCTACAGTCCATGAAGTTGCAAAGAGTTGGACAGGACTGAGTGACTAAGAACACACACACACATACAACATTATTAGCTCTTTATCTGAATGAACAAAGGGGCATTTCAATAACTCCTTTCCAAGGTGAACAGCAGTTTCCAGAATCTAGAACAACAGACCTAAAATTAAATGGGCCCAGGTTAATGTTAAAGGGCCCTGGAGCATCTGTGTAGGAGACATTAATTGCTTGCTATTTTAATAAACTGGTATTGGTTCTAATGAGTTGATTTATTTTAAAAAAGTAGAGCGCACACCAAGAGTGGAAGATGAGTTTAGGCTGAGGGGAGATGGTCACCTGGGGCTGCGGAGGAGATGGACCATTTTAATAACTGGTGAGCAGTATCTTCTTGTGGTTTAACAACACATTCTCTGCATTTTATAAATTTTGGAGTAACCCAAGGCCCTTGTGTCCAGAATTTCCTCTCTTCTTAGTTATGAGACTGACAGGTTTATTCTGCTGAAAGGTCAGAGAGCTATAGGTCCCAGTGCAGACTGTTTTAAATACAAAGAGCTTACCCTACAGACTGGAGAAGGAAATGGCCACCCATTCCAGTATCCTTTCCTGGAGTATCCCATGGACAGAGGAGCCTGGCAGGCTACAGTCCATTGGGTCGCAAGAGTCGGACACGACTTAGAGACTAAACCACCACACCACTGTACAGATACGGACCCATTCAAAAGCTCAAGCAACTCCTTTTAGTGATGACATTAGGAATCTCAGGCAACTAAAAAATACACTTTAGGGACCCTTGTGACCTTGACCAAATGCAAATAAATCAAAAGATCATGAGGTCAGCACTGCTGAGCAGTTGACAAAGCAGTTGACAAAGGTGCTATTTCAGGCTCTGCCTCTGGGCAGGGGTTATTAACTAGGAGTCAAAAATCCTAATAAAGGGGGCCCATAAAACCTAAGAAATAGTATGTGATATTTTGTGCATATTTTTCTGGAGTATGGGTCCATGGCCTTCAGGATTCTCAAAGGATCCATTATTATCAAAACAGCATAAAGAACAACTCGTGTTTCCTTTCTTTCCTCCTTCCTTCTTTTCCTCCCTCCCTTCCTTTCTCCCTCCCTCCTCCTTTTTAGTCTTTTTGTCTGTACTTTCTACTTAAACGTCCTCAGCAAGACAAGTAGCTGATCTTCAAAAAGTATCTTCTGTAGGAACCAAGACTTTCTCAGGGTGAATTCTGTGCATACACATAGGGTTTTTACCCTTACATTAAGATATGATTATTCTTATGATGATTACTGAAACAAGGCTTCCCCTGGACCTTAGCGGTGAAGAATCCGCCTGCAGTGCAGGAAACACGGGTTCTATCCCTGGGTTGGGAAGATCCCCTGGAGGAGGAAATGGCAACCCACTCCAGCATTCTTGCCTGGAGAATCCCATGGACAGAGAAGCCTGGAGGGCTACAGTGCATATGTTCACAAAGAGTCAGACATGACTGAAGTGACCGAGCCCGCGGTGATCACTGGAACAAGGAAGGGCAAGAATAATCTTGAAATGAAAGTGAAAGTGTTAGTCACTCAATCATGTCTGACTCTCTGTGACCCCATGCATTGTAGTCTGCCAGGCTCCTCTGTCCTTGGGATTCTCCAAGCAAGAATGCTGGAGTGGGTTGCCGTGCCCTCCACCAGAGGATCTTCCCAACCCAGGGATCGAACCCAGGTCTCCCACATCACAGGCAGATTCTTTACCATCTGAGCCACCAAGGAAGGCCAAGGATAATCTTAATGGCCATTTAACTTAGTTTGTTCTTGCTGCCCCACACTCGTCTCTTGTTTCACTGTTTATTTGTATAGTCACCACTGTAAAATGTTTTGCGAATGAGGTGGGGATCAGGGGAGGTGGCGGGTGGTGAATAACAGAAATAAAATAATTTCAGGTTGCATTCAAATCCTACAATATCTTCACAATAAAAATCTATTTTTTCTTTGCAATCCCTGAAGCTGACACTCTTTCCTGAAGCATTTTACATTCTCAATGCCATAGCCTACCTTTGCTGTTGAGGTCAACCAATGTCGACGGTGCCCTCGATACACACCGGACCCTGTGTGCTAGGAATACAAAAAGAGGATGACAGGGCTTCTGCTCTTAAACTCACATCCTGTATGCTGCAGAAGCAGAATCTATTGGTGACTGCTCCCAACTGGCTAAAAGAAAATTGAGAACATTTCTCCAAGGAAGATACACGAACAGTCAACACGCACATGAAAAGGAGCTCGTCATCTTTAGCCATCAGGGAAATGGAAATCAAAAGCACAATGAAATACTGCTCCACACTCACTAGAGTAAGTATAACCAAAAGGATAGACAATAACAACTGTTGATAAGGATGTGGAGAAATTGAAACCCTTAGACATTGCTGGTGGTATGTAAAGTGGTACAGCCATTAGGGGAAAAAGTTTGGCAGTTCCTCAAAGGGTTAAACATAGAGTTACCATATGACTTAGAAATTTCAGTCTTAGGTATACACCCAAGAGAACTGAAAGTCTGTACAAAAACTTATATGTGACTATTCATGCCACCATTATTCACAATAGGTCAAAAGTAGAAACAACCCAAATATCTGTCAACTGTGAACGGATAAGCAAAGTGTGGTATGCCACCACACTAAGCCAAGATGTTAATAACAGGGGAAGCTGGAGGTAGTGGTATGAAATATGAGATATGGTAGGGGATAGGAGAACCCTGTACTGGGTGCTCAATTTTTCTGTACACCCAAAATCGCTCACCAAAAGTCTACTTTAAAATGTGGTATATTCATACAACAGAATATTACTGAGCCATAAAAAGAATGACGGGCTAGTGCATGAACCTTGAAAACATCATGCTAAGCAAAAGAAGCCGAACACAAAAGGCCATAGATTGTATGATGCCATTATACGTGATGTCCAGAACAGGCAAATCAGACAGAGGGCAGGTAAGTGGTTGCCAGGGGCTGGGAGAAAGGAAGAGTGGACAGTGACATCTCATGGGTATGGGGTTTCTTTGGAGGGATAAAAATGCCCTGAAATTGGACAGTGGTGATGTTTGTACAATCTTTTGAATATACTAAATACCATGGAAATGTATACTTTAAAGGGGCAAATTTTATAGTATGTGAATTATCTTAATTTTTTAAAAGGACAGCCGAGCTGGGGAAGAGAGGAAGGACATTCTAGTTTCTGAATATGCAAGGTAATGGTTTATTTCTTGACTATAATTACATTCGGACACAACTTAGCGACTCAGTAACAACAACAATACAATAATTACGTGACATTCTTTAACTCACTGTCTCTGTCTTAAGTATATAAAAGAGCATAAAAGGCATAAAAAGGGGTACTCAACATCTTTTTTATAATACCCATCTTCTCCTATGCTGTCTTCTCCACTGTGTATCATTTCCTTTCTTTTTCATATTACACCAAAGCAAAAGACAACTAACAAATTCAACTTGGCTGACATTTACCAGGAACCAATAGGAAATAAAGGATTTCTTCCTCACACAGTTTAAATTTTGCTCTCAGACTAAACGACATTTTCTTTGATTGACCAAAAGCAAGATGAAGAATAATTCATTAAGATATGCTCTGCATATCAATTATTCACGAAGAACAAAAGCAGAGAAAGATGGAAGTAGATGTAGGACCTTCCAATGGAAGCAGACAAGGACCAAGCTTTGGCTCCATTGAAATAAAGCCACCTACAGCTCCTTGCACAATAATGTCATCACCAACAAAAATTAGAAGACAAATGTAAAGAATGGAACTCATGCAAGCCATTAATCTGTCTTTTCAGGCTCACTAATATGTATAGCACAACTGGTGATATTGAAGGAAATAAAGCAATAGGGGGTTGTCTCACAATGCCAATATTCAGGTCCTTTTACTTTCAAGCCATAACTTTAGTTTCACTAAAACTTTATTTGCTCATACACTGTATATATTTTTGAGATGTAAAATATTATTGATATATTGCAAATTCTGAGAACTGTTCTGATGTTCATGGCATCTTATTCACTGTAATAATGATCTCCATTTCATCTCAAAGCTTTTACTATTTTGTCATTATTGAACATTCTATATATATACATATACACACACACATACAGCAGCATACTCATATTTCAGTCTTAAAAAAAGCAAATAAAATAGCTAGGTTAGCAAGCACTCCCAGCCTTACAGATCTGCCTCAAGGTAACCTGTTCTTTTCATAATCTGTGCATACTTTAGATGGTACCAAGTAATTTCTTAGTATAATTTATGCTAGACTTAATTATATAGTTTAAATGTCTGCTAGACCATTCAGTTAACATTTCTTCAAATTTCCTCCCTTTTTAACATGTCTTTATAATAGGCACATATGTCACTATGCATTCTCAATTAACAACTAGTATAGGAAATATTCCACTCTCTGCTCTACCTCTTTATTTAAAAAAAAAAGAGAGAGAGATTTCTGGGTACTAGCTACTGCATTAGTGTTCCTCATGCTGATATCCAGGGGCTTCATTTCAAATTTCACATGAAATCACTCCAGTCCTACGGCTCTGATGAGAACATGAAGAGTAAGGCCACTTACCTGGCTTTACAAGGCCTGACTTCGGTTCCTTCTTGTGTCGCGCTGACTGGAGGCTTCCCTCACCAACCATTCCAATTGTGCACTTCTTTCTGGTAAAGTCTTCATCACTTCCAGGGCAAAAGCCAATGGGGCTGTTCCCAGCATCGGAGGGCGTCTTCACAGGCGATACTGACTGGCTACTAGGGCAGCCTGTGTCATCTGGAAGACAGGAATCGACGAGTGTTTAATGAGGAGGAGGAAATCAATGATGGTGCAGGGAAGCCAGGCAGTGAGCCATGCCCACGCGCGCTCACACGCACGACGTACTCAGCTCAGGAGGCGCAGGCTAACTCCTGTGGATGACTTGCCTTTTATTTTCCATATTCTGGCCAATCACGTTAACAAAGGAAATATCAACAATCAAAGAACAGATTCTAAGGCAAAACCCTGTAAGACTTTTGGATCACAAATATTTCTGTGACATTCCTGTTGTCCAAACCTAAATTATACCTGTCTGTTTTAGGGCTTTAGGTAGTATACTTCTGGTTTATATTCATCCACAGATTTCTGATGGGGTTAGTAACAAAACATTTGTCAGAGCAATTCAGAATTATTGATATGAATTCCTCAGGGTTGTCTGTATTAGGAAAAAGCTGCTTGAATGTTATTGACCACGCCCAGTTTTCAATTACTGGACCCATCAGTTGGTTGCCAGAGTTTGAAGGAGAAGACAGCTGATTTCAGAAGTTCAAGGAAGCAGAAGGCAGTGATCCTGTTTTATCATCGAACTTACCTATCCAAACCAAAAGGACATCAATCAGATATCTTGCTGTCTGGGATAAATGGGTAAAATAAAAATAATATTCAAATCATAAATGTTCCCTTAACTTTCAAGCTATATATTAACTACCATAGTTATTATTATAAGTTAATATGCATAATATGCAGTGATCTTATAAATGCTTAGTAAGCAAACAAGAAAGCTACATTGCTGATTCCTGTAAGTTCTTTCCATATCTATTAAATGTTTATAGTGGTTGATTAATTCATTTATACTGTGTTGAGGAGAAGTGTATGGAATGTAAAGCCAATCAGTGTTACTTAAAAGTATGTCTACTCAAAATAATCAATTAGTGGTAAATTTTCATTGCTGAAAAATTCTTTATTATATGGAAATATTTTGACATCAGAGCTATTTTAGCAACTAAGTAGGCAAAAAAATGACTAGTACTAATGAATACTACTAAATGAATTTGGTACTAATAACTTTTAGGACTATTATACTTTTATAAATATTAAAGGAACTAAAATAATTTGCCATCTATCAAAGACTATCATAAAACTTCATGGCTTGAATGAAGACAGAAACAGAACTAGGACTGAATAAAATATACTGGTTGCCTGAATTAACATGACTAGAGAATCCATCTAAAAAGCAATTCCATTGTTTCATTTTTGGCCTTTATTTCAATTTTTGTTATGAAATATCCCAGCTTCTAGAACAAAGTGAACTTGGCATTAGTAAAATGATGTATCCTTTTAGACTTTTGGACATAATAGCCTATATCAGATCTCAGTGGTCCATTTCTGGAAGTAAATGGTTTTTAGTGCACAGTTCATATCTTCTGTCTTTGCTGCTCTTTTAAATGTGCTATGTTCTTCTTGAACTGAAGAAATGGTGGCTCTGAATCACAAAGTGATGAGAATCCTCTTGGCTGCTACAGCTCAGCTATTTCACTATTGTCCCTGGTTTCTTACTTTTGCCTGTCCCATGCTTCGGTCCAAAGAAATCTGAGCTCCTTTCTTAAGGTGCAAAGACAGTTTCCAGTACTTTTACAAGGCTCCACAGGTCTGCACATGGCCTCAGGAGAGCCTGCTTCCTGATTCCTATCCCAAAGCAGATAAACCCAAACAAATGAAGTCTAATCATCCAAAATTACCTGTTGTCTTTAAAAGTATTTCCTTACGAGTCAGTTCCGTAAGTTACTTCTTTTGAAAGAGAGATGGCCCAAATGAACAAAAAGTTACGCTTCATTCAGATTCTCTACCCTCGAAAGCAATTTTTCTTGAGAACTCTGACTTCAAGGGACAAAATTAAACAATTTCCAGTATTGAGAAACACTGTCAAAACTGTAATTTAAATAGAAAACGAATGTGTTTTGTTCAGTTCTACTATCATTTAGCCAGAGTTAAACAAGAAGGAACGTGTGCATGCCAGATTTTCAGTACTAGTCATTTCAAGGACTACGGGTCTGATTAAAAATTGGGGACCAAAATTATTCAGAACGGTAGCAGTTTACGGAAGGCAGTAGCAGTTTTTCACCTGGCATGTATGTCTCACCTGTCATCAAAATTTACAGCCGTTATCTCCAGGGCAGGGATTGAGAAGATGAATACCTAAATAAATCTTTAACTTCAGGTACCTCATACAGCATTTGAATCACCACCTAGTAAACTAGTATTCATTTATCATCTCTTAACTGTCTGGCATTACACTTCATATTGAGGGGGAAATGATGGGAATATGAGACATCGTCTTTCATTAGTTAAACAAATATATGTCGAGTCTTGGCACTGAATCAGCCGCAGGAATGTACTCAGCCCCCATACTGATGGAGCTTATAAGCAAGTAAAGGGAGTTGGTAAATACCACTCCCAGCGCACAGTTCTTTTTTTTTTTATTTTATTTTATTTTATTTTATTTTTTATTTTTTTAAATTTTTTTATTTTATTTTATTTTTTTTTATCAGCGCACAGTTCTTGTCAACTGGCAAGCCTGTGAAGGCAAATCCATACCCCAGAAAAACTGAGTTATGAGAGAAGCTTGGGGTATTTGCCTGTTTTGTCTAATGGAACCAACACTGACAAAGGAATCTAGTTTTGGAAAGGGCGGGGCCATTAATTTTCCTACTGCAGAGACTACACTTTAAGTTATGCAAACTAAGACCCGAGCAAAAACAACAGAAATTCAGTACCAGAGAGTCACCTGGTTAACTGTGGCACCTGAGATGTTTTCCTCTGCACAGCACTGAAGAAGTGGTTCTTTTTTTCCACAGGTCTTGTTTAGGGCCCTTTCTTTCCTCCCCTTCCCCTTCCCTCCTCTTCCTCTCATCCTTTTTAACTTCATGATCATAGCTGGAAGCAGACCACCAGTCCTTCCTTTCCAAAATTCTATGTAAAATAGTCTTAGTTCACATTTATTCCAAGATTCTAAGAACAGTCAAGTTGATGTTCTTTGGTTGTTCAAGTCTAATCTTACTACGTGCCAAACTATATGTGGATCCAGCACATAGTAGATTTATTTATTAAACCTGCTTCAGTGAAATACTTCATGCTTCTATTTCCTGCTGCGATTCTGACTGTTAAATCTGTCTTGTAGAAATACAGCTCTCATTACTTATGTTAGTATAAGGGAATTATCAGTGACAGAAATTTCTAAGAGGATACCACGAAGAAACTGTTTCTGGGCAGGAAATGGCAGAAATCCTGAATGATTTACCCAGAAAAGTGTGGGTTGTTTTAAATTTCCAGAATGCCTGAGAAAAGTAAGAACATTTCAACTTGGTTTTAAGAAAAACTTTGCTCCAAGGCTTTAGAAAGAGAGTGGAGGAGATTGTCACTTCTACTGAAAAGGGGTTTTTCTCTTAAAACACGCTTAAACATACACCCACACCAGCTCTTACATAGTTGAGCTTTTACGTTTCTTTCTCATGGCATTATTCATGGTAAGTATAATTTCATTTTAAGAATAGATATGCAATAGGAGCACTTTCCATGTTTTACAGCATGATCCATTTGAGATGATTTCCTTCCGGGGTCAACAATTTAAAATTCCACTTACATGAGTCCAGGATGGCCCCTGGTGGATCTCAGGGTAAAGTGACCCTCGTCAAGGCCAAATGATCACCACCTGCAGTGAAGGAGGCTAATTTATATGTCCCCTTTCACTTATTTTTGCTGCTGTGGTTGTGTCCCCAAGTTGTGTTCAACTTTTTGCAACCCCATGAACTACAGCACACCAGGCTCCCCTGTCCTCCACTATCTCCCAGAGTTTGCTCAGATTCATGTCCATTGAGTTGGTGATGTTATCTAACCATCTCAACCTCTGCTGTCCCCTTCTCTTTTTGTCTTCAACCTTTCCCAGCAATTTGGTTATTCAATTCAGGTGGCCAAAGTATTGAAGCTTCAGGTTCAGCATCAATCCTTCCAATGAATATTCACTTTTATTTATACTGAGGAATAAGTTCTTTCATTGATTTGTTCCTGTTTATTTTCTTTGAATATGTCAACTCACAGGATTAAAGATAATAGAAAAATATTTACAGACCTAGGAACCTCCAGAAGTTGTGGCCCACCTCAAGTGCTGTAAGAAATATACTACTAACTCGTTTCCAAATTGATTTTAAAGGAAAAATTTTTTAAGGTCTATAAAGACAGATGGGAAAAACAAATATCTAATGTAGTTTTGGAGCTTGTTAAATAATGATTTTTTAATCTATTTTCTTCTCTCTTTATATTATAAGCTCTTTGAGAATATGGGATACAGCTAAAAATTGTACAATTACTCCACTTACAATTCCGAAGAAAGTACGTAAAAGCACCTTTTAAAATAATTTGTATATTATTTTAAATGTACTAAAGAAACTTGTTAAGTTAAAGAAAATATTCTGTTGGGTTTTTAAATTATAAAAGTAATACTCTTTATTGCAAAACATCTAGCATACAGAAAAGTACAAAGAAGTAAAAAAAATAAAGAGATAATAGTTTCCTAGAATTGTACTGCCAATAAGAAATATTTAACTATTTGGTATATTTCTTACTGATTTTTTATGCATATTATTTACTTGCTTGCTTGTTTTCTGTTTTTTAAAAATTTCAACATACATTATAGTTTCTTTACTCTGTTAATTGAAAAATTTTCCCTGGAATTTGTTAGGTTAGACAGAAAGAAGCTTTTAAGACTAGTAGGAACCAAAACAAAGGGCCAAAGACGGAATAATTTGAGCATCAGAAATAATAATAATAATAATAATAAATGCAAATGCAAATGACTGATAATCATTGGATATATTTTAAAAATCTATGAGTTCATAATCTTACAAAATAAACCAAAAAAAAAAGGCCATTTCAACACCCTGAAAATCCCAACCTGCTGAAATCATTGGAAGTGACCAAGGGGCCAATTTTTATACTTAAATTTGACAATTAAGAAGAAACAA